CCCGGATGTGACTCACTATTGAGAAACCGGCCCATAGTGACAGAAACTGATACCGCAACTTCTGCTGAGTGGCTATCACGTAATAATCACTTAATATGCCCCTAAGCAGTAAGAATAACTTCATTTTATATTTGCATAGTTGTATTCACGTTACCCTCACCATTGAGAGGAACTCCAAGATTTTATAACTTTCTGGAGCTACTGAAGGTGAAACGTAATAACTACGAAACGGGATCACTCCAAAGTTTTCTCATCTTTAAAGTGGAAAATAATAGTTACGGCAACCAAACCTTGTGGCATTGATTTTAAAGTGGGTGTAATAGCTTAAGCGACGTATTGGCCATCTCAACTATAACTTTAATGTGGCGCCTGATTATATAACCATTGTGGTGGTAGCCACGTTTTTGGTACGCGAATAAGTGATTTCCATATGTCGCATGCAATCAGAATCACAAAGAAGTTGCTCTTACCCTCAAAATTCACTTTGAAGTAACTGACACCTAATTGTGATCTGCTTCCTTCATAACTATAAGAAGCTAAAGAGAAAATGTTGTCGCTATGTGCGCAAATTACTTTTTTTTAGCCTTATCCAGTGAATAATTGTTGTATGTGTGATGGTGTATGTGTGTTTATGTAAGATGGGCGACGCATTCTGAAAATTGTTTTTCAAATTTCAGAGCATCTTTAAAATCTTCCAATCCTGACAATTTCACAATACATTCAAGCGAAGACCAGGGGCACTTGTTGGGCTGCGCCTTAAAGTTTCCCTTTGGGAAAAATTTAAATAGTCTGGCCAAAACAACATCCCGTCATTTTCCTTCTGATACGGAACAATACAAATGTAATTGTAATTTTATGCATTAAACTTTTGTAATTTTTTAGCCTTGAAGAAGGTACAAAATTAGCAAGGATGATACACACTACTACTACAAAATGGTCTAACCTCATAAACTCATAAGGCCTGTATGTAATAAATCCCCCCCTTCCCCTTTGCTCCAAATTACCAGTTGTGACGTAGGCGGCATGTTATTTATTGCCTTGACGTCGTAGGCTGTTTAAACAGCTGACGACTTAGTTATGACGTCGGAAATGGTATCACACCAATATGGCGGCCATTACCAATCCTGATAGGTGTGTAGGTATCATCCTTCTTGCAAAATTAGTACCGAAAGCTCGGAATGAAATAAAGAATTATTTGAATCATTAGAGACCACCTCTACTTTTGATGCCATCTTACTTTATCACTTATTTCAGGCATGCGCATTAACAACGAAATACCGGAATCCCTTACTAACCGATAAAGCTTGACGTTACCTGCGAGTGAATACGGTATCCCGTATTAACGCTGATAATCGAACATGGTTGCCTTTAGTAAAACGTTAGGTTGAAAAATTAAACATGTAAAATTATTTCTCGAATTCAAAATGTTCTATATGTTATTTGATTGAAAAGCAAGTGCCAATTTTCGGTTTATTCGCCTCTTTTGGCCGTATTCTGTAAGAAAAGTAGAGAATATATACCTGCGCTGGCAACCGCGTATACAGGTCTGGCAAGTCAACATCTTATGGGCCAATTTTAATGCAATAGAATGAAATGCCTTGGAAAGTCCAAGGTAAAATAGAGAACAAAAGCGATGCACTTTTTTTAATAAAAAACTATCAGAAAAATCAAAAAATTTCTGCAGATAACCTTACTTGCACTGAACGTCAAATAGCGTGTAAACAAGAACAAGGAAAGGGATGCAAAAACTAAAAATTCTGCTTCAAAAATAGCGTGACGCAAGCTACGTCACAACGCGTTAATAACCGTTAAAGTCACCTAAGGGAGATTTTTCATAAGAGGTGCAAAAGGTCTTTATTGTTTGGCTAGTTTACCCGCTATTTCAAAAAACGTAAAACTAAAATCCAGCCGTTATCTCTATCCCCAATAACATAAATATTGACCAACTCGGAGTAAAAGCGAACGGCAGAATATAAAATAAATATAAACCGGTTGCTAGTTGCAATTTTGAGGTTCTGTAGGTTATATAGTGACAAACTATGGTGGCTGCAGTGTAGCCGCAACTTTGGAGTGACTAAAAAGTTATTAGGTTGATTCCACGCACCACTTGATTGATGAAGGCGTGAGAGGAGTGAGATATTTTAAGTTTCTGCCACATCAAAGCTGGATTATTGAAAAGCAGCCATCTTTACAGACATTTTCATGGTCGCTAATGTTAGAAAAATTGTCGTACTTTTCGAAAAAAAAAATATTTTCCATCTAAAGGGCTTCAAATGTTATTATACAATACATAATCATTAGATTCTTGCCTAAGATATCTTCATTTGCGAGTTTCCAGAATGTTCAGTGTTTTCAGTATTGAGTCTACAGTCTTCAAAGTCTCTGGAATCTAGGCAGTCTTCATTCAGAGTTTTTAGAGTCTGAAATCTAAGATTCTATTACATTTGTTTCCAGTTTTCAGCTTAGAATTTTCAGTCTCTGGTATCTTTGACTGTTAATCTATATATGGCATTATCGTGAGTGAAAACTGGAAAGTTAGTTTAAAATTCAATATCTTGACTGAGTCCTCAGGTATTTATGTCTTTAGAATCATTAGATTCTTGCCTAAGGAGTCTTCATTGTCGAGTTTCCAGAATCTTCAGTGTTTTAAGTATTGGGTCTTAAGTCTTCAAAGTCTTTAGAATCTGGACAGTCTTCATTCAGAGTTTTCAGAGTCTGAAATCCAAGATCTTATTACATTTGTATCAGGTTTTCAACTGAAAGTTTTCAGTCTCTGGTATTTCGACTGTTGATCTATATATGGAATTATCGTGAGTGAAAATTGGAAAGTTATAATTCAAAATTTAATATCTTGACTGAGCCCTTAAGTATTTAGGTCTTCAGAATCATGAGATTCTTGCCTAAGACGTCTTCATTGGCGAGTTTCCAGAATCTTCAGTGTTTTCAGTATTGAGTCTAAAATCTTCAGTCTCTGGAATCTAGACAGTCTTCATTCAGAGTTTTTAGAGTCTGAAATCTAAGATTCTATTACATCTGTATCCAGTTTTCAGCTGAGAATTTGCAGTCTCTGGTATCTTGATTGTTAATCTATATATGGCATTATCGTGAGTAAAAACTGGAAAGTTATTTCAAAATATTATATCTTGACTGAGTTCTCAGGTATTTATGTCTTCAGAATCATTACATTCTTGCCTAAGGAGTCGAGTTTTCAGTATTGAATCTAAAGTACTGAAGTTCCTGGAATCTTGACAGACTTTATTCAGAGTCTGAAATCTCAGATAACCTCGATTTATATCTATCGGTAAAATGTACAATTATAGTTTTATTGGGGTTGATGCCTAAACTCTTCTGCAGACACAATCTAATAATGACATTTATTGCTTTTTGCATGAGGTCACTAATGATCCTGTCATGCTTACCTCTAATGATGACTGTGTGGTCGTCAGCATATCCTTGGATCATAATCCCTTGGGCGCTAAGCGCGATGAGAAGTTCATCTACTACCAGTGACCACCTCAGTGGGGACAGTACACCCCCATCAATGAATGCGCACATAGAGCGATTTCTAGTAGGTAGATGTTCTAGTATGGAATTGAAGATTATCTTCGAAGGAAATTTTATGTTGAAATTTTGATTCTGTATGATTTGTAACCGCCCAAACTCCATGCTGTGAGACTTGAATGCGAAATATTTGAAAAAAAAGCAGCGGGAAAATTGAAAAACCATAAAACTTCCTACTCTCTCCTTAACAATATTCTATCTCTAGAACCGTAACTCCAAATCAGCTGAAAATTTCAGATTCCTTTATTAGAATAAGAATCTCAAAAAATTTCATAATTTTTCAGAGTTTCCAAAAATTTATCTTTAAAAGTTTGTAAAGTAAAGTTTGATTCTTTTGGGCCAACTAGGGGGATTACTCAGATATTTGGTATAAATCTACCGTAAAAGTTTATTAAGTTGAGAAATGCCTTAATTTAGTGACATTTTGTGGTTTTAGGGCCATCTTGCCATTCTAAGTAGGTCTGAAAGCCTCAACTCTAATTGTATACCATAAATAATCAGCACTGGGACTATGTGATGGATAGAGATCGTTATCTCTATCGGATCTTCCTCTCTCTTTTCGAAATCAATAGAGAGGGGACGTCAATAGAGATAGAGAAAATATCTCTATTCGTTACATAGTCCCAGGGCAGTTTTTTAACACCCAACACTAAAATTTAGGTCAAACTCCCCCGAAACGAAACGATTCATTTTAAAATTTACTAATAAATAAATCCAATTAGACCTAGTTTCACGACCTACACCGGTCGGAATCGGTGCAAGGTTGCAAACCGCGACCCAAGGAAACAAGGCCTGTCAGCCACAAAAGCAAATTAAATTAATAAATCTTGAAAATATAATAAAAATTGCGTCCCTTTTTCGGACCCCCTTTTTTGTATTCGAGCCTGGGCACTTGTTAAACGATCGCCCCATTGTTTCAACATGTCATAATCATGTGCGACCTGGAATAGTTTCGGCCTTAACCCATAATATTAGAACAATGAATTAATTGTTCTCGAAAAAAGATTTAAGATAATCAGAGAACATGGTAACTTTTGAAAGTTACTTGGGCTGCAATTCAGTCCTCGAATACCTATACGAATCAAGCAATAGAGAAGTTATTTTTATTTTAGGATTTTCTTTTCTTTTCTCAAAATTTGACTTGTTTCACCAAGTATCTTTTGAATTTTGGAAACCAAATTCAGAAAAAACTAAAATAAAATTTAAGAAATCTCAACTAAAATATGGAGATATCCATTGAAAATGCAAAATGCACCGTGCCAATCCCATATAATAAACTTGAAATAATAATAATAGTTTTCCAAAGGCAATAATTACTATCCAAAGTAGTTGTCCTATAAATCACAAATCGAAAAAACCCCATCAACAATTAAATTGCCTCCGTATCTTTCCGAAACCGATTGCTGATTAAATTGCAGAAATTTTTCTCGTACAAAATCAGTTACAAGGCTAATGGAAATTCCATTTTCAGAACAAGTTATAAATTTAGATAAACTGGATCTCGCGGATAATAATTAATGGTGGAAATACGTGTTAGGGATGAATAATTGTTTTCGGTTCGCGCGGGTATATAAAAGCCGATCGAAATCCCGATGCTGACCAAAGCTGAAGTGAGTTTTGAAAGTGTGGAAGATAATTTGAGAAAAGAAAACAAACAACATGTTCAAACTAGTAAGTAACATTATTTTTTATAATAATTCTTATGTAATTTACAATGTTAAAATTTATTTTTTTTAATTTTTGAAATTTTGTTTAATGCATTGTGAAAAATTTTTATTAGTTTTTAAATTTTATTTTTAGTGTTTAGTTTTCCTTTGTTTTATTTTGTTAGAAACTTAAAGGGTGATAATAGAGCTACAATATGGGTATCAACAATTCTCAATAAATAAATAAATTAGAAATAATATATACATACATATAATTAAAATCTCAAAATCTTCAAATCATAGATATATACAGGGTGTTACAAATTTGTTAGTAAGTATGGGGATCTCGGTAACTATAAGAGATATAAGGGTGGGTTAAATTGTTTCAAAATTTGGAAAATTCCGAATAGCTACCTACTTCCGGAGATATACCGAAAAAACCGAAATTTCGTAAAATCGTTTTTATTTATTTTGTTTTAATATCTCCTACGGATTTCTAGATATAGTATTTTCAGTACCCATTTTGAATGACCCCATCCTTGTTTATCAAGTTAACGCACCCAAAGCTAACCAATACAATTTCTATAGTTGACTTGATTGGTCATAAATGGCTCTCTGTATCAACTTAATCGAAATGACTGGGTTTACACCGGCATCTTTAAATGAAAATCCAAAAATGAAGTCTCATTTTCTTCTGACTGTGATACTATTGACTATAGAGTGATAGTAATACAGGTAGGTTCAAATAATTGGTTTTATTAAGAAAACAAAACAACTCTCTACCAAACTCAACATAACCTCGAAGATACATCTACCCTAAAAAACTAAAGCTGATCATGGCATGTTGCCAAGTTTAGCAACTTACATGAACAAAACTTATAATCATTAAATTTGGATGACAACTTAATAAGTCTTTTTCCAGCATCAGGACCGATACGACCATTTTTATCATATCCAATGTCAGAGTCAGGATGCGTATCTGTTGAGTTCTCAATGAACTTCTCTGAGCCTGAGATATTTGAGAGTTAATATCATCATTAAACTCATCAGATGTGCGATTATTCCTCAAATGGAAACTATTTCTACGGGCTTCCTAACCATTATCCTTCTGAACTGTGTAGGACCTGGAAACAGACAATCTTTTAGAAACTGTGCCTGGTTGCCAAGTCCTACCCTCTTTCACATTCACCCTATCACCCACTCCAAAAGGATCCCTAACCATAGTTTGCCTAACATAGTAGTATTTATATAGTTTTCTTTTATTTTCAATTTTTTCTTTCTCCCTTTCACAGTCAATGGTTTGAGGTTGTAAGAGGTTTTTCATAACTGGTAGCTTAGCCCTGAGAGAACGGCTATTAAGAAGTTGGGCTGGAGTTTTTTCTGAACCACTAATAGGTGTATTCCGATATTCCAAAAGTGCGCTATAGAGGTCATTACATTTTTTGAGCATATTTTTAACTGTCTGCACAGCTCTCTCTGCTAGTCCGTTAGACCTAGGGTAATTAGGACTGGAAGTAGCAATATTAGAATTCCATGCCTGTGCAAACTTTCTACATTCAAATGAATTAAGGGGCATATTGTCTGCAACAACCTGTCTCGGAATACCCTGAGAGGAAAATACTTGCTTAAAAGCTTCTATAACAGAGCTTGGTGTTACTCAAATAATCAATTACTACCAAATATGACTTTCCTTCATACTCCATAATATCACTTCCAACAATTTCAAAGGGAAACCCTGGTAATTTTCGTAAAATAAGAGGTTCCTTTCGATTGCTGTTTTTGTACTTTGCACATCTAGCACAACTTGTAACTAGCTCCTCTATGTCAGAATTAATTTGCCTAGCTCTTTGCTGAGTTTTAATAACACCATAGTGATTTTCGTGAAGCTGTTCTAGCATTTTATTTCTGAGTGATTTTGGAACAATTATTACTCTTTCATCTAAGAATATTAAATCGTTTAATATGTAAATATTATTTCGTTTTGCAAAATACTTTTTAATAAAAACAGGAACTTGTGTTATGCTAGATGGCCAACCCCTATTACAAATATCCTTTAAAAGTTTAAGCTCATCGTCTTTAGATGTTTCTACCTTAACCCCTTCTATATCACCAATGCTTTCAGTATTAATCTTTTGAAAAAACTCAGGTGCAACATTAAGATCAAAAGGAAGTCTCAAGAACCTGTAGACACCGAAAGGACAACCAAATGCGCAGAGCCTGCTTGGATCCTCATCCAAATTTACCTGAGAAAACCCATCCTTGAAATCGAGCACAAAAAAGTAATTTTTATTGTTTAATTTTGCTCCTATTTCATCTAGAGTTGGAATTTCATAGAATTCCTTTTCCAATGCATTATTTAATTCTCTTGGATCTAAACACAATCTTAGTGATCCATCATTTTTTTCTATGATCACCAAGTTGTTAAGCCATTCAGTGGGCCCCTCAATTTTAGCAGTTACTCCTTTATTAATCAATTCGTCAAGTTTACTTTTCAATTTGTCTTTAATAGCTAAAGGAACCCTCCTGGGTGGCTTAAAAACTAGAACATAATCTTTTTTCAGCTTGAGTTTACATTTTTTGTTAAACTGACCCAATCCCATGAAAATATCTTTATTTTGCTTAACAAAAAGATCCTTATTGCTAGTTACTTCAATATTTTGAACTTCTTTTTTTTTATAAGACCCATGTCAAAGCAAGAATCTAGTCCCAAAATTGGCACATAATTTTCTGCAATTACAATAAAATCTAAGTTAAAATTTTTATCGTCATACCTACATTTCAAGTTAACAGACCCTAACGGATACATCTTAAAATCCCCATATCTTTCAAGTACAATATTAACTTTTGTTAATTCGCCTTTTTTCTTAATCTTATTGAAAATTTGCTCTGAAATGACATTAACCTCTGATCCTGTATCTACTTTAAAATCTACTATAAAATCATCTACTACTACTTGCTCAATCCATTTAGATTTGACTTTTTTCTTACATACTACACTTACATTTTCAATGCTGCTCAACTCACTAACACTTATCATTGCCACAAAGTACTCATCATCTTCACTAGAATTCTGTTCATGCCTGCTGCCTACTTGTAACTCCCGAACATAAGACATTTTTTCAAAATGTCCATAAAGCTTACATTTATTGCATCTTCGACCAAATGCTGGACATTTTCTTTTACCATGTCGACTGCCACATCTTTGACAATCAAATTGATCTGTTTCTTCATTTTTTGGGTCTCTGTTTCTATTAAAATAGCCTGATGTTGATGCCTCATTTCCTCTATTTGGAAGTCTACTATGTTGTACTTTTTTCTGAACTGCATCAATTTTTACTTCACGACCATCTAGAACTTGCTTCAACTGAGCTTTTGCAATTTCATTTGCTTTGCAAATTTGAGATGCCTTTTTAAGTCCACATCATCAAGATGCAAAAGCTTTTCTTGAAGTTCTTTACTTCGAATGCCAAAGACAATGCGATCACTAATCATAGAGTCAATCGAGTCCCCAAAATCACAAGTTTGTGCCAACTTCTTCAAATCAGTTATAAAATTATCAAATGTCCCACCCTCCTCTTGTTTTTTATTATAAAACAGAAATCTTTCATACACCACATTAACTTTAGGAGTCATGAACCTTTCTATTGCACGTAACACTGTGCTATATGATTTCTTTTGGTCTTCATTGAGACCTAGAGTATTAAACACCTCCAAGGTCTCCTCACCCATGATACTTAACAAGAGGGTTACCTTTAGCTCATCATGCTTTTTGTCTTTTCCATTGGCAGCCAGGTAAATTTCAAAACTTTGTTTAAATTTTCTAAAGTTTTCTGCAACATTACTTTCAAATGAGAAAGGTGCCGGTAATCTCAGCTGTTCCATTTTGAAAGCCTTCACTTTTCCACAAGATGAATAATCCAGATTTCACACTAGGATATTGGGACAAAACTGTTTTTCCACAACAGGAATTGATTAAATGATTAATGATTATCAACCCACATACTACTGCGCCATGTGATACTATTGACTACAGAGTGATAGTAATACACGTAGGTTCAAATAATTGGTTTTATTAAGAAAACGATTACACACTATTGAAAATAAGAACCATGAACAACTCATACCATGTTGCCAAGTTTAGCAACTTACATGGCTTGATCTATATATCATCACACTAACAAGGTTAAGAAAAGGTGACCCAAAGACGAAAGTGTCCTTCCTTTATTTTGAAGTATTTACTTATGTTTTCAGATAAGGTTAGGAAAAAATAAAACCGATTTTGCAAAATTATACAGAATTCACGAATTTGTATCACCCTGTATAGGGCCAGTAATAAAAAAAGCTTATCACAAATAGATACAAAATCAAAGAAATCACATCAGTGTGGCCCATTTAAAATATTAAAACTGCTGCTTCTTTTTGATTAAAGAGGTAACACTGCACAAAATATAAGAAACAAACAGCCAAATAATTTGTACTATTTTTTTTTCTAGATCTTATTCGTCACTATTTTGTGCTATGCCTCCGCAGCCCCCTCTCCAGGGATAGTGTCGCACCACGTCGTAGCTCATCCAGTACCAATAGTAGCTCATCCCGTGGTACCCGTAGTTAAGGCTGTCCCAATAGTACCTGTTGTCCGAACTTATCATCCGGTGGTACCAATTGTTAAAACTGTCCATCCTGTTATTGTACATCACTGAGGATTTTTTTGGAATTGATTATGTTATTGTTCAAAACTATATCCATTCTGTTATGTTTTGTTTTTGATAACCTTTTATAATTATTGAAAAAAATATATAATGTTTGTTCGAGATTAATAATTTGTATTAATATTGATTTGAGGTCAATTATTATTTCAGGATGCACATTATTATGAAATATTGAGAAACCTAATGTAAGGTTCGGACATTTGGAATAAACGAAATATAGTTTCAAAGATTTATTTCAAGTTAAACTAAACTCATTCCGTCACTATATCTGTCACCCCCTGCTATGTCATACCACATATTACTGGTACCGTAAGGTGGGGGTACTTGCAACAGTGGCACAACTTGCAACAATATTCATCGGGTGAAATTTTTGCTTTCCCCCTCCTCTGGCTTGAGTTGCGCGTCAGCCGCTAACGTGTTACCGTTTAGTACGGATCAGTAGGTTGAAATGTGAGTAGGTTTAGCGTTGAAAAATTTTAAACAGGGAAAATTTGGCGCCATTTTCTGACAGCTCTGGCAAGTGCTCTAAATTATTGCAATATAACTTCTCCTGTGCAGAGCTTATTTACCCTAGGATTTGAATCAAATTTGGATATGATGTACTTGAATGCTTAGTCTAAAACATTGAATATCTAGTTTTGAGTTAGGTTTGAAGGTTTTCGTAAATAGATTTTTTTAAAAATTGCATGTACAAAAGTGGATAACTTGCAACATGCCTCGCAAACACAAAAAACAGTTAGGGAGTAGGACCTACCGTAATTATTCTAACGAAACTTTGGAAAATGCATTAAAGGCCATCGAAAACGGATCAGGGATTCGGGAAGCATCGCGAGAATTCGGGATTGACCCATCAACGCTTTCTCGGAAAAGAAGAAACTTGTTTCCCCTTGATCCTGATAGGCAGCCTGTATTTCCAAAGGAAGGGGAGGAAAAATTGTCCAAAATTGGCCAAAATTAGCCAAATTTATTTTTTTTAAATATTTTGTGTTGCAAGTAAGTTAACACGCGTTCCTAAATACAATTACTACTGAAAAAAGCCACTTGTTGCAAGTATCCCCTTGCAGGTGTTCAACTTGCAACACCCAGTTTTTTTGAAAAATATATATCAAATAATAATGTTGTTCAAAGTTTTTTGTTAGAATCAGATACTAGACCACAAGACTAAAATTTTGGCACCAATTAGGTCAAATTCGACAAAAAAATAAAGAAGGTATCGGCAAAAGAAGTTTGAACATGTCGCAAGTAACCCCACCTTACGGTAACTACCTTACATCCTTCTTTCTCTAGCAATTATAGATAATATTGACGAAAATAAAAAGCAATAAACCATTATAAAAATAACAGAAACATCTAAAAAATTATAAGTTCTTAAGAAACATAATCTCTAAAAGCTCTGGTTTTTTAATAATTCTACCAGACCTAGAAATACCAGCCTTTGGCAGAACTCCAGTTTGGTCAAAACCTAAACTTAAGCGGTCAAAATTCTGATTTATAATTTCTTTCAATTTTATAGATTGATCAGTATTATTGGCTGTCAAGTTCAAGTTCTGCTCTTTCTCATCTATCCTTTGCGAATCTGAACCAGATCCAACCACCTCAAACGTCTGTCTAGGCGACGCTTTATAAATGTTATATCTATTTCTCGTCACAACATTGCCTGTAAGAAGTTGAACCTAATAAGAACGTGGTGCATTACCCTCCTTGTCTATTTTTGCTTCAGTTATATCATGAACATTATCTTTAATATGTGCTATCTCCCCTTTATTGAAAAATATAACGTACTTCGCTTAACCCGAATTTACACTTGAGTCGATTGAAATGAACATCGGCACGTTTAGCTCTGTCTAACACTGCTTCCAGTCTTTTGGCGCGTTCTTCTTTATTCGCTGCCCAGACTATAACATCATCTATGTAAATTTCCACTCCTAGAAGTCCATCAAAAATATTCTTGAATGTACGATGAAAAACTTCCGGTGCAGAGCACAGTCCATAAGGCATTCTCCTATAACAATATCGCCCATAACACCCAGCTTTAAATGTTGTAAGTATTTCACTTTCTTCATGCAACTTGATCTGATAAAAGCCCTTATTGCCGTCCAGTATTGAAAAAATATTTGCCCCTTCCATCTTGGATTCAATTTCCTCAAAAGTTGGAAGCTGATACCACTCACGTACTATGGCTTTATTCAGATTTTGTGGGTCAAACAAATTCGAAGACTATTGTCTGTTTTTTTTACAATGACCATAGAACTGCACCACTCAGTTCAGTCACTTTTCTCAAAACGCCCATTTTCTCCATCTTATCTAGTTCACTTTTAACTGACTGCTGAAGGCTGATTGCAATTTTTCTTGGAGGTTCTACATCTGGCTCTACCTTTTTCTTCAACTGAATTTTATATGAATTTGTCAATTCGCCTTGAAAAATATGGTCGTATTTTTTTACTAGACTATCAATCACATATTTGTCTTTCTGTTTTACCGATCCTACTCTTTTTAGTAGATTAAAAATCTCAATAAATGGATGACCAATTATGCATTGAGCATAAAAGTTGACTACAATGAACACTACATTGTGTTTTTTATTATTAGTTTCACAGATAAGTGTAGTTTGTCCATAAACACCCATTAAAGAGCCTTCATAATTTAATAGCTTTCTATTGGATGACTGAACTTCAGCATTAAGTTCTTAAGCGGTTCTTAAGTTCAAAACATTAACATCAGCACCAGTGTCCATTTTGAAACAAATTTCCTTATTATTTACTGTTACTTTTTGCATCCAGCCAACTAAACCTACTTTTCCTACTTTCTGAACTGTGCCTATAAGCATTTCTTGCTCTTCATCATCAGCTTTTAGTGAATATACATTTTGAGTCATGTTTCTTTTTTCACGACAATACTTTTGAAAATGACCAAACTTGTTACATCCTTTACATTGTCTTCTTGAACCATGAAAATATCCACAATTGCCACACTGTTTTTTATCAACTCTATTTTCTGAGTTTGTTCTAAAGCTATTTCCACTTTGATTTCGGGCTTCATATTGATCTTTTTGTGAAGTAAACTCTCTGTATTGTTCTGATTTTTGTGCTTTCTTCACAATATTAACATTTGTCTCAATTTCTAGCTTTTTTGATTGAAGTTCAGCTAACTCCGACGCTCTACAGATATTCACATGTTTTGTCAAATCTAATTGAGGATCTCTGAGCAACCTATCTCTTATTTTAGTGTCCTCTATTCCACATACAATCCTATACCTAACCAAACTATCTCGCAGATCTCCGAAATTACAACTTTGACTTAGTTTTCTTAAATCAGTCACAAACATATCAACACTTTCACCTTGTAACTGCTTTCTAGTATGAAATAGGTGTCGATTAACAGTCTCATTTTCTTATGGTTTGAAATAATTTTTGCCAGTCTTTCTTATCATCATCAGGTATCTCTAGTGTGTCATAGATTTCTAATAGGTACTTCAGCTCCAATTGTATGTAGCAAAATAGCAGCTTTCCTATCAGCTGTTACCTTTGTATTATCTTTCAAACCAGAGGCATCCATATAAATGGTGAATTACTGTTTCCATTTTTAAAAATTTGTGGGGATATCACCCTCAAGAGATATTTCTTTGGGTTGTCGTAAAGTTTCCATCTTATTTTATTAAGGAAACGTGGGGCTAAGAACGAATTTGACTTAACTTTCTTTAAGACGAAATACTCAAGTATTTTGTAAAAAAATCTTCTTCACAACTTATCCTGTCCGCAGCGCCATGTAAGGTTCGGACATTTGGAATAAACGAAATATGGTTTCAAAGATTTATTTCAAGCTAAACTAAACTCATTCCGTCACTATATCTGTCACCCCTGCTCTGTCATACCACATATTACTGGTATCTACCTGACACCTAACTCTTTCTCTTTTTTTTTTTTGAATTCTCACTTAAAGTGTGCAGGGGAATTCCTATCTAGAATGTGCAGGGGATCATCACTTCTCCTGTACATATTCAGGAAGTTTGTGGAAATTCAGGAAAGTACGAGGAAGAATTAGGGAAATTTGGGAAGCTCGAGGAAGTATCTGAAATATTCAAAAAAAGGAATTTTATTCTAATTATTATGGTTTAATGATGTGATAAAATAAGAATATTTCATAGGAATTTTGAATTTTCAATATAAGATTCCATATTCATAGAAATTTAAAACAAAACTTCCATAACAATTGTCAATTATTATGTACAGGGTGATTCAGTATAAAGTGAACCCCTTTTCTCTGAAAAACTGATTTTCGAAAAAATCAAGATAGCTATTTGCTATTTGGTGTATTTTGTTTCTAGAAATTTGAAAACGTTTTCGAAGTTTGACCCAATTATTCAGGAAAAACTATTAAGTATTCAGGATTTCTGAGGGTATGGCACTCTTTCAAATAGGTACTTTTAAAATTAAACTAATAGAACAGTATACCAGTGGATAGACCTGCTCGTCGGGTTCCTTTAGCTATTAAAGATAGATTAAAACAAAAATTAGATAAATTAGAGCAGCAGGAAGTTATAAAGAAATTAGATAATGCTATTGAGTGGGTTAATAACTTAGTTCTAATTGAAAAACCAGATATATCCTTAAGACTGATCCACAGGATTTAAACAAGTGTATAAAGGGACAATACTTCGAAATTCCAAGCTAGGAAGATATTAGTGCTAAGTTGTCAGGAAAAAAATGTTTTTCTGTACTTGATTTTAAAGATGGGTTTTATTAAGTGAAGCTTGATAAGGAGTCTAGTTCTTTAACATAATTTTCGGTTGTTAAAAATTTTTGAGACTACCGTTTGGTTCAAATTTGGCACCTGAGTATTTTCAGAGAATAAATTGTTAAAAATTTGGGAATATTGAAAATGTAATCATATATTTTGATGATTTTTGGTAGCTTATAACACTATGGAGGCACATGATAAGACAATGAGAATGGCGGCGTTACGGAGAGCAAGAGAGAAGGGTGCGAGATTTAACAAAAATAAGTTGCAATTGAGAAAGTGTGAAGTGAAATACATGGGGTATATTTTTAATAGTGAGGGTATGAAATTAGATAATGTTAAAATTAAGGCCAGCAATGATCTTAAAGCACCATCCTATAACAAAGAATTGCAGAGACTGCTTAGCTTGGTAAATTATGTTAGAAAGTTTATTTCGAATTTAGGGGAAATTGTTAATCAAAAATTTAATAATTTCATTTATGGCCGCCC